TCTCTCTCTCTCTCTCTCTCTCTCTCTCTCTCTCTCTCTCTCTCTCTCTCTCTCTCTCTCTCTCTCTCTCTCTCTCTCTCTCTCTCTCTCTCTCTCTCTCTCTCTCTCTCTCTCTCTCTCTCTCTCTCTCTCTCTCTCTCTCTCTCTCTCTCTCTCTCTCCCGTGCGCGTGGTGTATGTGCGCCTGTGAGCGTGCATACGCGGTAACAGCCGAGTTCTGTTTCGTATCTTCGTGCTCACACGTCAACTAGGCTCTAACAGGGGGAGCAACTACATAGACGTGATGCAGCAGCCGTTTTCTCTCAGCATTTATTCTAACGAGGAGGTGGCGCGGAAGAGCTCCGAGCCACGGAACACGCAATCGTGCGCGTCCACATGAAAGGGGGATTACGGTGAGCCTATCACGCGCCTGTGTTTCGGCGGAAACGAGGTTAGCAAGATCCTCACAAAGCTAACGAGTTGCTTCTCTCTTCTTGGTCGATAGATCGATAGATCAATATCATCTCAGCGCACCTCCATGGTAGCTGCAGCGATATGTGCTTTTGACCTCGGAATGGGAAGCGCTCGTATTCCTTATGATATACGGTAGCCGTGGCGCGGCTGACGTTCCCCCTACCCAGTCACGTATGAACACAGGAAATATTAGCACCCGACGTGTATAATTACCTGTGTTCGAGCACGTGTGCGCGTGCACGAGCGTATGTGCGTTTATGTGTGCGCGTGTGCCAGCGTGCGTGCGTATATGTGTGCGCGTGCACGAGCGTACGTGCGTATATATGTGTGCGCGTGCGCGTTGCTGTGCCCGGGTGTTTATAAACGTAACCGTGTAGTGTATGTGTGTGTGTGTGTGTGTGTGTGTGTGTGTGTGTGTGTGTGTGTGTGTGCGCGCGCGCGCGCGTGTGTGCGCGCGTGCGCAAGTAAGTCTGCGAGATAGCGATGTATTGGAGGACGTGCACACCGCCGTCCGGCAGATGGCGGCACCGTTGCGCATGTACGGAACACGTTGGCTTAAGACGGCTTGCTTCTAATCCGTCGATGCATGCACGACTCCTCCGTCAAACGACCGACACGTGGGCACGCAGCTTTTACTGCATAGCCCACAGCGCTCGCGCGCGCACTCATCGGTGACTACCAGGCACGCAGCATCAAACGGGTAACCGGACGCGCGCGTAAACGCTGTCAGCAACACCAGACGACGACGAGTGTCGAAGGAATGCACTCGCCACCACCGCCGCCACCTCCGCCTCCGCTAGTGTTGTGACGCGATGCAGTCACCGCTCGTGGCAAACTGGAATTTCAGTGCGACGCCCTTGGAAAAAGAAATCCATGCAGAGCAGCTGCCGAGCGACGGACCTTTTACTCTCGATCACTCTCTCTCTCTCTCTCTCTCTCTCTCTCTCTGTGGGTAACGAGCTGAGCGCGCGCCACATGCTGCGCGCGTCGCTACCGAGGTAATAGAACAGTGACGTCGACATCGTGACGTAGCACGCTGTCGTCGAGCTTCACGTCGGCAGTTCGGCAGGTGGGCGACTGCGATCATCCGACTGAGTTAACACCTTTATGCGCGATGCTCAGGCGCTAGTGATGTAAGTGTGCGCGCACGCGCGTGTGTGTG